AATCGTGTTTTTCCTGCAAGGTATATTTGAGCTCCGTTTATGAATGATTTGTGTTTTGATGTTAGGCAATTTCTTTCACTTTAAGAATATTTTGTTTGACGATCAAATTCCACGATGCTGGAGCCCTTTTTTATTTAACAAGAAAATTTGGTGTAATACAACATAGTATATACATGACTTAAAGTTCAATTTTATATGTGATTGGTCATTATCATATTATATTCCAATTCATCTTGATCCTCCAATATCTCCTTCCTCCACATATTGTAGTGTCCCGTTCGTTTATAAAAAGACATCTCGTTTTGATTTTCTTTCACTGCATTGCATTTCGTTCTTTTAAGCTCGACTAAGTTCATAAGTTCTGTAAGATTATTTAGACGCCCTCATCTATTTAATATTTTAAGTTAAATAATTTAGGTCGATGTCCCCGTCTATTTAAAATTTTCAAGTTTCGGCAATTATTTTGATAAACAAAATTACGTTCGGTTTCAAGTCTAAGTACAAGCCTTTTTGCATTTTATTTTTGGCCCAAATCCAAAGAAATTGTTGGCCCAAATTTGAAGTATCACCCGACTCTTTTTTGTTGAGAAACCCCATATACTCCTCATTTTGGCTCCACTCTGGCTTGTTCCAAAATTCAAACACTAGGAGCATTTTCTTGGTATGATCTTCACATCCTATCTTTTCATTTTGGCTGACCAAATCAGCTCCAATCAGCCCCTTCTTCCCTCTTTTTGCACGCCCAATTCACCCCAACTAAGGCAAGTAAGATCAATTGTTTTTGTTAGAATTTGGGAAAAATATATTCTATATTATTCAAAAGACATGTACACACATATATAGGAACATAATGAGCCTAAATCTAATCCTACAATAGATATACAAAATATATTATAACCATATATACAAAATATATTCTAACACCCCCCTCAAACTCAAGGTGGTATAGTAGATATCAACTTGAGTTTGCTAAGAAGTAAACAAAAGCGACCGGGAAGGAGAGACTTCGTGAAGACATCCGCTATCTGATCCGAAGAGGAGACAGAAACAAGTCGTACAGTCCCATGGGTAACATGCTGGCGAATAAAATGACAATCAATCTCAATATGTTTGGTACGCTCATGAAACGTATCATTATGAGACATCTTGACAGCGCTCTGGCTATCACAATGAAGAGCAGTAGAGGATGACTGAGGGACACCAAGATCAGCAAGTAATCGACGCAACCATAATAGCTCTGCGGTGGAATCAGCAAGAGCACGATACACAGACTCGTCACTCGAACGGGAAACCAAGGTTTGCTTCTTACTGCGCCAAGAGACAAGTGAATCACCTAAGAAAAAGCAATACCCGGTAGTGGAGCGACGATCGGTAGGATCTCCAGCCCAATCTGCATCAGAGTAGCCGCTAATGGACAAGGAAGAACTGGCCGAGAAATGTAAACCATGCAATAAGGTGCCCTTCACATAGCGAAGGATGTGCAACACAACAGAATGATGCATGGTTCTCGGAGCAGCCATAAACTGACTCACAATATGAACAGCATGAGCTATATCAGGCCGAGTGACAGTCAAATATATCAAACTCCCAACGAGCTGGCGATATAACGTAGGATCCTCAAGAAGAGAACCATCCAATGGAGTAAGACGAATATCATAATCAAGAGGTGTGGAAGCTGTTTGGCAATCAGTGAGACCGGCCCGAGCAAGAAGATCAGAGGCATACTTGGCTTGAGACAAATAGAAGCCATCAGAGGAATCATAAATCTCAAGACCCAGAAAATAGCGAAGACGACCCAAACTCTTCATCTCAAAATGCTGTCGAAGATAATCCTGTAAGTCGGAAATACCCGAAACATCATCCCCCGTGATGATCATATCATCAACATAGAGCAACAAAACAATGATCCCAGATGAAGAGCGCCGAAGAAATAGGGCAGAATCGTGATCACTCGTAGTGAAACCAAACTGAAACAATGCAGAACTGAACGTGGCGTACCAGGCACGAGGCGCTTGTTTCAAGCCATACAAAGCTCGGCGCAGACGACAAACCTTCCCAGAGGACAAGAACCCAGGAGGAGGAGTCATGTAAACCTCCTCAGATAATGCACCGTGCAAGAAGGCATTCTTAACATCTAACTGTAAAAGAGACCATCGACGAACTGCAGCAACTGCAAGTAAACAACGTACAGTTGTAAGACGAGCAACCGGTGCAAATGTCTCTTCATAATCTATGCCATACTCCTGTGAGTACCCCTTAGCAACAAGACGAGCTTTGTAGCGCTCAATAGACCCATCTGAATTTTTTTTGATCTTGTAAACCCATTTGCATCCGATGGGTTTCTTGCCAGCAGGTAGATCAACTAGATCCCAAGTATGAGTCTTGTCTAAGGCCTGCAATTCCTCAGCCATAGCTTGTTGCCACAATGGATCAATACTCGCCTCACGAAAAGACCTAGGCTCATGATGAGATAATATGGCCGAATAACAATGATAATCAAGTAAGTGAGAAGGGGGACGACGTACACGAGTCGACCGTCGCTAATCAATAGCTGGCAAAAGTACAGAACCAGAAGAGGGCTCATTACGAACCGTCGGTTCAGGATGCACAGGTGGAGCCACTTCAGAAGACGGAGGCATGACAGGCGTGTCAATGAGCTGAGAGTCAGAACCTGTATCTGTATCTGGAAAAAGATCTGAAGTAATAGACATGAATAAAGGAGACGCCGAATCAAACGGAATGTGGAACTTAGACAAGGAGGAAAAAGTAGTATGCTCCCAAAAGGTAACATGACGCGAGATACGCAACCTATTAGAAATCGGATCCCAACACCTAAATCCTTTGTGTTCTACCCCATAACCCAAAAAACAACATAGATGAGCTCGGGGTTCTAATTTGGTCCGCTCATGGGACGGAAGGAGAACAAAGCAAGCACAACTAAAAGGACGTAACTGAGTATAATCAGGAGACTGACCGTACAACCTCTCAAAAGGACTGACATCCCTAATGACTGATGAGGGTAACCGATTGATAGCATAAACAGCAGTCAAGGCTGCCTCACCCCAAAAACGATCAGGACACTGAGCAGAAAGAAGAAGAGCACGAACAGTATCAAGAATGTGACGGTGCTTACATTCAGCTCGTCCATTTTGTTGGGAAGTATATGGACACGAACGTTGAACTAAGGTGCCCTGATCAGAAAGAAATTTAAAAAAAGTAGAATCTTTGTACTCAAGAGCATTGTCAGTACGCAAGACCTTTATAGGACAAGAAAATTGTGTAAGAATCATTTTAGCAAATTGAACATATATGCTGGACAACTCAGAACGATTTTTGAGAAAATAGATCCAGGTAAAACGAGAAAAATCATCAACAAAAATAACAAAATACCGAAAACCACTCAGAGAAGCAACAGGAGAAGGACCCCAAATATCAGAATGTACCAGACCAAAAGGTTTATCTGCAGTTGACAAACTATCAGAAAAAGAAAGAGCCGGTTGTTTCTCAAGTTTGCAATGAAGACAACTAAAAGACTCAAAATGACCTGAACCCAAAAGACCCTTATTATATAAAGAATGAACTTTATTCGAAGACGCATGCCCAAGACGAAGATGCCACTGGAAACTAGACTTACTATCGGTGGCAGAAGCAGAAAAAGCGTAGGAACGAGGGACATGAAGTGACTCAAGCTCAAATAACCGGCCCGTCTTGCGACCTTTCCCGAGAAGCTGTCCCGTCTGTGAATCCTGAACCTGAACACCAGAAGATGAAAATATAACATTAAGACCTTGGTCAACCAATTGACCAACAGAAATAAGATTCAAGGCCAAGTCAGGAATGCAGTATGTGTCGGGAAGATGCAAGGAAGGGGAAGAAATCAAACCAGTGTGAGTAACATTCATAAGAGTACCATTAGCAGTATGTATAGGAGGTAAAGAGGTTACGGAAGACGAGGAAGACAAAAGCTGCGGGCTAGAGGTCATGTGATTGCAACAACTAGAATCAAAATACCAATGTGATTTATCTCCGGTAGCAGACATAGAGGAATTGGAAAGAAGAACCTGTTTGAGAATAGCCTCTATGTCTTGAAGAGTGTAAGACGAATGCTGAGGCTCAGTAGTGACAGCCGCTGTAACAGAAGAAGTGGCGGTAGAGGAAGACCCATGATGTCGAGAGAATGAACCTCTCGAACGGTGTGATCTGGCTGGACAATATGTAGCAATATGACCCCGAACATGGCAAATGTGGCATACCATCGTAGGACAAAATGGAGCAATATGACCCTGAACATGGCAAATGTGGCAGACCACCATAGAAGAATCCATATCCAACAAATAAAGAAGCACCAGCAACCAGCAACAGTACGAAGACAAAAGAAAATCACGAACTGGATCACAAACCGGATAAAATAGCAGTAAAAGGCCGAAATTAAAAAGTTCACGAATACCAAATCCGAGCACACCACAAGGTAGCCGACGTCGACATGAGTCGGCGGCTGAAAGGCGGCGGCAAACGGCTGAGTAGGTGAACCACACGCGCCGCCGGAAGCTCACGGCGCTGCCGGACAAAGTCGGCGAGTGGGAGCTGCACGCGCGGCCGATCTGGGTGGTTCCGATCGGCGAAGACTCGTCTCGAGACGGCGGACCCGATGGTATGGGAGGTGAGAACCGGTGGGCACTGTAGAAGATCGACGAACCAAAACTCTATTTGGGACCTTAAACCTAGTCTGATACCATGTTAGAATTTGGGAAAAATATATTCTATATTATTCAAAAGACATGTACACATATATATAGGAACATAATGAGCCTAAATCTAATCCTACAATATATATACAAAATATATTATAACCATATATACAAAATATATTCTAACAGTTTTTCTCTCCACCAAGTCAAGGCTAGATCACTTTTCTCCTTTCATTTTTGGTCCCTCATAGAATCAGTACGAGAACACCGAAAGGCTCTCAAAATTTCCCTCAAACGACCCTCCAAACTCTCTCAAATTTTTCGAGCAACAACCCCTTTCCACAGGCGACCTGCAGCAGCCGCGAGCGCAAGAGCAGCCCGCAACGTCGCCTGTTTGCGAGCACGCTTGGAAGTAGCAGCGCCTCGCCACCGCATGCAGCCACACGCCCAGTAGCAGCTCTGCCACACCGAGGACGCCACCGAGACCACACACGAGACAAATATAAAATGTCTTTTTTAATCGAATAAAAAGTGGGGTTTCACTAGAAATATATATATCAAAGTCTATGTATGGTTAACTTGAGATTAGATGAGCAATTTTCCAACTCCACCCAAACGAAGCACCAGATGTGTCACCTTCCTTTCTGTAGTCTTTCGGGTTTTTTTATACCATAAGGTCAATTTCTTGACGATGTTATTACTGCTCATGATTCATGAGTATACCAATTTTCTTAATAATTGTAGATATAGAAAAGATTGTGGCCCTTAAACTTAACATGTCAAAGATGTTTGACAGAGTAGAATGGTCATTTGTAGCTTCCGTAATGATGAATGTGCTTTGATAATGTTTTTGTGAATTGGGTGATGATTTGCCTATGTACATTTTTTTTTTTTGCCCTTTAATATTAATGGTCAAACTTGTGGTTTTGTTCTGCAAACCAGAGACATTAGACAAGAATACCCCCTTTCACCTTATTTTATCGTTATTTCTGACGAAAATAAAAAAAAAAACGTATTTTGAAGAGGACGAAAAAGTTAGGGTAGTGAAACATACATGACTAAAATTACATTTTACTCTGCCTAATTTGATCAAACAAGCTTGTCCGAAAGATCCGTTGCATGGGGTTGACGATTACTAGAAAATCTCTTGAAATTACGAGTCTATTTTCGGTTGATGATTAGTTTTACTGTCAAATCTGATACCAGAGAAGTCTCAACTCTGAAAGTCAAACTGGAAGTAAGAAAATGTCAATGTTACTCTAAACACTAGGTGCTTTGTATTGCCTTTGATGATAGGTTGAAGCAAGAAAGAAGTCTTCCAGTTTATATTCAAGCAAGTACACGCGGAAAATTCGAAAACTTGCGCGCCCTCGTATTATTTTCAATTTTGTGTTGTTTTGTGTCAATCAACATGCATTGCAAACACAGAAAGGACCGTCGTAGCCTGCGTTCTCTATACATTGCACAGTGGTTGAGGGTCCAAATTTCTTCGTACAGAAAACAGAACATTGTGTGGGGTCTTCATTGACACACAATATTTCAGGATGAATTTCATAGCATTGATCCTCACCCATTCCCATCTCTACTGCACCAGAATATGTTAATTGTCATAGTAATTGTAAGGGAAATTCTACGGTCCTGTTACGGTACCATCTCGTCGGGTATTTTAACCATTGGATCATCTATTTTATCTAACTAAACGTGGATCCAACGGTTAAAACACCTGACGGGATGGTACCGTAGCGGGACGCTTAGCATTTCTCTGTAAACAAACGAATGATATTGAGTAGATTTTAATTATCTTATACCTGAGAGCATGACTGCAATCATAAATATGCAAATAATTTGGAGTTTGACGGCCATTCTTGATAAAAGAAATTGTTATTGTAGGTGAATTAAGGCTTCATGGTAACTTGGAGTCCTTTTATAGGTGAAATTGGTGTGTCTAACTTAAGTGAGTGGAAAAAAAATATTCTAAAGATTATTATGACAAATGGTAATGTTATTACGAATATGTCATAATATTCTTCTAATATTTGCAACATCTTATATTACAATAATTTGATTTTATATATTGAAAAATATTATTTATATATATATATATTTATCAAATCATGTTACTGAATAAAGTTGATAGAAAAAAGGCAATGAGACAAGAAAATTGCAACTTTAGTCGAGTAATTTAAGCCGATCCAACTTGATCATATTTCGATTCCGGTCGTCGGAATCCGATCAGAAGTTGTTGTGCCGAAAAATTTTGGCATCGACTAAGCCGATGTGGACTGATTTACGACCGATTAACAGGAAGATTAAAGATAAGAAGGAATCTTAAGGGATCAAGAGCCGCAAGTAGTGTAACGCCCCGTTTCTTTTAATCAGACTTCTGTGATTAATTGCCTAAATGATTTTTTGACTTTGGTGCTTATGTGATTATGTGATTTTGTGCCTATATTATTAATTGATTATGTGCCTATTGTGATTAATTGTTTTGTGGACTTTGTGTCTAAGTGTTAAATTTATAATTTTTCCTAAGTGTCCATTTTATTCGCTGAGTGCCAAGCGTTATTTTTTTTGAGATCGCCTAAGTGTTGTTCTAGGCCTTCAGAACCAGCCACATATATATTTTTTCAAAATTCAGTCCAAGCAACCTCATTTATTCGACCCAACACCAGCAGCCCAACTCGGTCATCAAGCAGTTGCAATTTTTTTTAGCCCATTAACTCTTGGCCCGAACTTAAAAATCGGTAGCAGAAATTAAATAAGAAAAAAAAAATATTCCCCACATTCATCCTTTTTTTTTTTTTTT